TGTTATGGATCCTCTGTAGGACTTTCCTCCCCGCCCCACCACTTGGAGCCAACCACCAGATTACAGCACCTCGGCGCCATCATAGACAAAGTTGCGTGCCAGGTCTCCCTGTCCTACGACCGAATGATGAGCATCAGGTCGCTTGCGCAGCAAGTTAATCAGTTGTGGCACGTTCCAATTTTGCAGTTATCCCAACTGTTGGGCAAAATGATATCCTGTCTGTCCATCGTGCCTTGGGCCAGGCTTCACTCTCATCACCTGTAATGGTTTTTCCTGCCTCACCAGACAGCCAAACAGAGAAATTTGCAGGCGCTGATTCTGGTTCCCCCTCAGGTACGTCAGTCCCTCAGATGATAAATGACCTCCACCCTGACGAAGGGCTCCTTCTTCAGAAAACCAGATCGTTTCACCATCATGGCGAATGCCAGCCTATTCGGCTGAGGGGCTCACCTCCACAACCAGATGGCTCAAGGCAGGTGGTCGCCGTCTGAGCTGAAGCACAGCATCAACTGGCTAAAATTGAGAGCAGTGAGGTTGGCTCTGCGTCACTTCCAGAGCAGCATCCAGGAATACCACGTGATTATCTTTACAGACAATGTAGCAATCAAGGCACACATAAACCACCAGAGGGGCACCCGATCCAGGCCGCTGATGGCGGAGGTCAAATCCTTGGGAAGGTGGGCAGAAAGACATGTGTGCTCACTTCAGGCGGAGCACATTTCCAGGGTGAGCAACATCCAGGCAGATTGGTTGAGCAGGGCCACAATCAACCATTCAGAGTGGCACCTGCATCTGGACATCTTCCATCAGCTGTCCCAGAGGTTTGGCCGCCCAGTAGTTGACCTGTTCACCACTCCGTAGAATACTCACCTCCCCAGGTTCTTCACAAGGTTCTACAGCCCACAAGCAGAAGGGGTCCCTGGCTGCTGGGTCTTCTTTATGCATTTCCTCCACTTCCTCTCCTGGCCAGAGTAATTCGAAAGACACTGGAAGAGGGAGCAGAAGTCCTTCTCGTGGCTCCCTTCTGGCCTAGGAGGACCTGGTTTGCCGACCTCATGAGTCTGTCCATCATCCACCTTGGCAAATTCCCCCGCACGAGGTCTCTCTCAGCCAGGGAGCTCTGCAACACCCAGAGCCCCAGTGGCTGCAACTGGCTGTGTGGCACTGAGAGGGACTTCCTGAGCAGGAGCAGACTTTCTGCCAAAGTCATCCACACCATTCAGGCATCCAGAAGACCGGCCACGACCACACAACGTAACACCGACTGCGGCTACTGTTCCCAGATGCTGGACTATTTGCAAGATGGACTTGAACCAGGGCCTGGCACCTAACACCCTCAGGTGCCAGGTGGCTGCCTTATCCACTATTATTGTGCCTGACAGTCATTCTTCACTTGGACAACACCCCGTCATCCGTAGCTTTCTGCGGGGTGCCAGAAATCTTAGGCCGTGGTCGTCCATAGGTTCCCATCATGGTGGTGTTACAGGCCCTTATTTCCGTGCCCTTTGAACCTCTGCGCTCCACCAGCCTGAAACATCTGACCTTTAAGACTGCCTTCTTAATTGCCATCACGTCTGCGCAACGAATCTCAGAGTTGGCTGCTCTGTCGGTTAGGGGGGACTTGTGTCTGATTCTCCCTGACAGGGTGTTCTTTGTCTGGATCCGACTTTTATTCCCAAGGTCAACTCCTGGTTTCACCGAGCACAGGAAGTCATTCTGCCAGACGTTTGCCCGCATCCCAGACACCCGAGAGAAAGGAGGTGGCACATGCTTGATGTCCAACACACTTTTCTCAAGTACATCGAGCACACGGCTGCCTTTCGGTGTTCTGAGTCACTTTTTGTCTCTTTTCAGCCTGCTTCCCAAGGGCGTAAAGTCTCTTCATTCACCATTGGTCATTGGCTGTGGGCATGCATCTCCCTCGCTTAAGTCTTGCAATCCAGACCAGTGACATGCCATATCACTGCACATTCTACATGGAGTGCAGCTACCACTGCGGCCTGGGCCTCTCTGGTGCCGATAGAGGAGATTTGCAGAGCTGCTACTTGGACTTCCTTGTCTCCATTTTTTCAGAACTATAAATTGGACAAATTTGTTTCTGCAGAGTGGGCCTTTGGGAGGCAAGTCCTACAGAGGATCCATAACAGCGGAGGGACCCTGGATTCTTCAGCTTCCCGCCCTAGTGACATTTAGCTTGGGTATGTCCCATGCTTGGACTCTCCAAGCAGCATACTGTAAAATGACCATTGGCTTACCTGAAGGGTCATTTTCATTATGCTGCAAGGAGAGTCCAACCCCCCTGGGGGTCTTTCTCCGCTTTCAAAGACTATTTGGACCTGTTGTTTATGGACCGTCTTGTACTTCTTATCAACGTGCACAGTTCCATGCCTTCATTGAAAATCTGGCAAGTCAAGGCAACATCAGAGGAGTGCCTAAAGTTTCAATTCAGTCCTGGGCAGATTGGTTGAGTTTAACCCATATTTGGATTCTCCTTGCAGCGTACTGAAAAACGACCCTTCGGGTCTGCATTCTCTATTTTCTTATACTACATTTTCTAAAGTTAATAGGAGGTAATTTGGCATGTTGAGTCATGTCAGCTGTCAATCAAGGGATAAAACCATGACTATGGAAGTTGTAATCCATTTGTACTTCAGTAGGACTCTTGTACAGTTGCTGATCAGGGTGTTAAGTTTTTATTTATCTTTCCCTTTTCTGGTACAAAAGGTGTGATGGGGGAATATGAACCCAAAATAGAAGTTCAATTTCCTGAAATAGTTCCTGCTGCTAAAGGATCAACTGTGAAGCTAGAATGCTTTGCTCTTGGAAAGTAAGCATAAGAATTTTATTTCTATAGGAAGAATTGGACATAGAATGTTCTTTTGCATATGTTGTACTTATTTGAACCAATTTCAAATGAAGTAATACTGAATTACAAACTGAGGAACTTTTTATTAATGGACTATTTATTATGTAATTATTCTAGATCATATAGTAAGAAATGAACATAGATTTTATACTGTGCATTCAGTATTAACTTTATATAACAGAATCTTGAAACTAGTTTACGTGGATTAACTGAGATACCAAAAAGTTGCAATAATGAATACTAGTGGCCAACTTTATATTTTAGCAATATAAATTCAGAGAAATTTGCCAACAGTAGTAAAATTAGAATGAAGCTGTGCATATTAGGATTTTTGATAAATGAAAAATTAAGAAGTTCTCAATTTATTATTAGCAAAGTTGATTCTTGGGACAAGCTTAATAGAAGGATGAGTAGCAGATCAATTATTCAGTGTCATCTCTGTTTAAGCATAACATGGCTTCTCAAGGAGCAACAGGGGATTCAAAAAATAGCACACTGCTAAGGACATATGGACTTCATAGGGCTATTATGCTGATAAAAACATCTTGTAAACCAGGGGTGTCAAACTCAATTCTATTGGGGGCCGTATCCAGTTGTGTTTGATCTCAAGGGGCCAGGGTGGGCATGGCCAGCTTGACATCACTTGTATTGGGGGCACCTGTGGTGGCTGAGCACTTTGCCAGTGAAAACAAGCTCCTAAGCTTCATTTTTGTCTGCGACAGCCTCCTGCAACCCTCTGCCAGCCTCCTGCAACCCTCTGCCCTCTGGGGGCACACGGTCCTGGCAAGTTATGTTTCTGGCTGTGATCGCCTTCTGCAATGCTCTGCCAATGAAAACACTTGGGGGGGGTCACATATGGTCTTCCTGAGTGTTGCTTTTGCTGGCAGAAGCACCAGGGGCCAATCCTTTGCTTTTTCCAGGTTGGCCCCGTGGGCCAGATCTAAACACCCCATGGCCAAATCAGGCCCCCATGCCTTGAGTTTGACACCCCTGTTGTCTTGTTTTCTCTTCTTCCTTTCCTTCCTTCCATCCATAAAGTGGAAAGATTGATTTCAATTACAGTTTTATTCCATCTTTTTGAAGGTTTGAAGAAGTTTGTCTAAAAAAATTAAAATCACTCTTGGGTGGATTTAAACAATTAACTAACAACTCTCTTCCAAAAAGCATACCAAACACTGCAAATTCCTTCTAATACGTAGATCATATTAATCTATTTTAGATTTTTTTTAAAAAAAATCAGATAATTATGTACAACATAATCTTTAAAATATTCAATTTCAATTTCATTGCTGTAGTCCAGTTCCTCGAATTAACTGGAGAAGAACTGATGGGACACAATTTCCAAGCAAAGTAATGTTGAGAAAATCCAATGGCATGATTGAAATCCCCAATTTCCAACAAGAAGATGCTGGTCTCTATGAGTGTATCACTGAAAATACTAGAGGGAAAAATGTTGCAAAGGGACGACTCACATATTATGGTAAGCATTTTAAAAAAAAACAGAGTTCTAAAAGTATTTAAGGAATATTCATTTGAGAGGTGCTACTATTCCCCATTTTCTCCAACTACAAAAAACCCTTTGAAGGAATTTCTGCTGAAAGAGTGTGCAGCCCAATGTTAGCCTGTGAGGTTCTGTGGTTAAAGTTGGGCTTGAACCTGATCTCTCAAGAACCTTCCCAAAACTCTAACTCTGCAATGACATATAAAAATAAATGTGTTATATCAGTGATATAAGTGTGTATGTGTTCGCTTTGAATACTGAAGATACTAATTCACTATTAGCTTTTGTTACCTTTAATTTACCCTTCTTGCCCAAACACTTAGAAGTTAGAGACTTGTTGAGAATTTCTACACACACACACACAGACACACCCGAGACAAAAAAGGTTCGCCATCACTGCCATATAGGAATAATAATTTTTTAAAAAATGAAAAAACAAATCAAAATATTTGTGACGTCAATTGTCTACATGTTCGATGTATTTCTTGCTATTGCTTCTCCCAGCAAGCATTTCAACCCATATCGGCAGGTAGTTCTCAGTTTATGACCACAATTGTGTCCAAAATTTCTGTTCCTAAGCAAAACAGTTAAGTGACTTTTGCCCATTATGTGACTTTTCTTGCCACAATTGTTAAGTGATGCACTGCAGTTGTTAAGCTTGATTGTTAAGTGAATCTGGCTTCCCTGTTGACTTTGCTTGTGAAAAGGTTGTAAAAGTTGATCACATGACCCCAGGTCACTGTAACCGTCACAAATACATATCAGTTGCCAAGCGCCTGAATTTTGATCATGTGAGCACAATGAGACTGCAACAGTTTGAAAAACGGTAAGAAATCACTTTTTTCAGTGCCGTTGTAACTCCCAATAATCACTAAACAGTTGTTCAACATATTCAGAATATTAAATTTTGTCTAGTGCTCCTCCAGCCTCTACATCTTAACTTCTTTTATGCAGCTATTAATTATCCTGTGTGTGTTAGACTTTCTTCATAAAAACAGAACTTAAAAGACTTATATTATGCTGCAACAAAATAATTAATTATCTGAAACATTAATTTTAGTTGCTTATTTTAATGCAAAAATAATACTTTCACAATTTCTCTACAAGGCTATTGTACATTATCTGCTTTTTCTAAAATATTTCTTTGCAAATTATATGGGCATAATGCAATTTTTCTTCCTATTTTCTTTATTTTTGCTTAATAAAATATGAAATAGGCACTCTACAAAAATCCTCTTGCACTTTAAAAATATGCACTCACTGGGTGCCAACAAAGTATATTGTTATTTTATTTGGGGGGGGGAGCTGAAGAACTAGCTAAATGTTAATTAGCAATATTTATAAAACATTACTCCCCAAAATGTAATTTTCCTTGTGAAAATTGGAAGTAAAGGATTGTTTCACTTCCAGTTGGAAAGAAAATGCATAATGCAAGTAAGGCATAAGGGAATATTTTAATAATATTTTATTCTATAAGGCAGTATAGCAATGCAATGTGCCTTGTATTCTATAAATTAAAAAAACAATTAATATAAATAAATTTAGCATATAAAACAGAAAAGCATTGCCAATCACAGCTGTTTTAAGTAAATAGCATAAGACTGTTCATCTGCTGCTTAAAAAAATAATACACAATACAACAAAAATTAATTACCAGCAAATTTATCAACAACTTTGATAGTTAACTCTAACTGGGGATTCAGCTACATTATTGCCAGTCATATAGAACTTTCAAACTGATTATTTATTTTATTGGCCCTGAACTGTTGTTCGTGTCATGGGACCAATGTATTTCTCTTTTTTTTTTCTTGTTTGGATTGCAAATATCATATATTGATGTTGCCTCCTACCCCAATTCAGTGCAAATATTTTCCTGGAAATCAACCCACCTTAATGTAAACCAAATTGTAAAATCTAAACTTGAAAAGCTTTCTTTCTTTCTTTCTTTCTTTCTTTCTTTCTTTCTTTCTTTCTTTCATTCATTCATTCATTCATTCATTCATTCATTCAGCCACCCATCTTATCAGATGGTAGGGCAACATTGATATGCACAATGTAATAAATGCCTAACTCACTTAGTCTCCCTTTTATTATACAAGATGTATCGGTTCAATTGACAATACAAAGGATATTGGAAATAATTGAAGGACTGATTCTACCCATCAGCTGGAAACATGGGCAGAAATTGGTGTATTATGGGTGTTTGTTGAATATTGATCTATTCAACAAAAACAGAAAAACAATACAGATTTTTTTTATTAAAATCGTAGAGATTCATAATAAAACCTATGTTTTTGTAGGCTTTCATGATTTGGTACAAAACTGCCACTTTAGATGATGTTTTCTTTATTAAATAAACAAGCAACATCTTTATTTGGATTTTGATCTTCCAACCAAACTTTGAAAGCAAAATTTGCAATTTAATTTAAAAGTCTGTGTTCCATTGCTTCTCTACCCATATTTTAGAGAGAAAAAAAGTATACCACTTCTCTTTGTTAAGCAACCTTTCAGGCTATATTATTTTTCTCTATTCCAAAATGTTAATAGCCTATATCCATGTTTCTAAATATTCTTAACCACCACTATCTCGCTACATTGAAGAACTTACATTTCTTGTTTTTCTAGTCAGAGTTTTTGCTGACCTGTAATATGTACCTAAATTTACACAATTCAGAAAACCCCAGAGGACATCTGGCTAGAATAATAGTTAAACATGTTTCTTGAACTTTAGAAATAACATATTTTAGCTAATGCAAGTTATTCTTCACACACAATATTATAAATAAGAATATCACCCAAAAAGATTTCACAACACTTTGACTTCTTTCCTTTGTGTTTGGTCCATGAATGTCTTTAGTAACTTTGGAAAGGAATGGAACAAGGATGAGTGTAATTCTTTTCATGGAACTTTATCCTGGTTCCTTAAGATTTAATATATTGGCTTTCTAGACAGGATGATCATGAATCTCCCCACGCTTGGTCCATCCTGGCCAAAAGAATTTGCATCTTCTTAGAGTTTTTCATGCCCCATATGATAGGAAAAGAGAATCAGGTTGTTCTAATGGTTAAACCTCCAGGCTAGAAACCTGGAGAACATGACTTTTATCCTGCTTTAAGCACAAAGCCCGTTGGAGACTCTGAAGAAGGGGCGCTGGGATTGTTGTCTGCACTTGGGAAAGGCAGTGGCAGTCAGGCAAAAATTATTCCCTTTTCCCCAAGGCCAAGGCTGCTAAAGCTTTCCCCTCAAAGTTTACAGCCCCATAAACTTGAGAGGTGGTAGGCCCATTCATTTATTAATTCCACCCACTTGCAGTTTACTCACAAGCATCCTCGCTGCCTTCAAGCTACCTGGCTAATTAAGCCAAAAATGCTCATGGCCAGAGGAAGCCTCATTTTCCCCAAGCTTACAGAAGTGAACACTAAGATAAAGAGGGGGGTGTTTGTAGGAGAACAGGAGATAGTAAAACAGTAAGCAGGTGGGGAAGTGGGAGAAAGCCAGAAAAGGAGCACTCATACTGAGGTAACATCTCATCACAACTAGTGCAAGAACTTTAGGAGGCAGGCAAAGGTTGCATGCCATTTTACAGACTGCCATTATGTTTGCTTGAAGGACTGAGTATTAAAGATGTATTTATGTGGCTACATTGACTTGCAAGGCCTAGGAGGGTAGAGTTAACCCAGAACAATAATCTGTGATTGGGCAAGGTATGTGCCACAATAAAGTATTGTGTACATAAGTACTATGCTATGGTGTGTCCAGTTCTTGGGAAATGAAGAACCCTCACGGGGACTTTGGGCCACATCCTCTCTCTATATAGAGGAACAAAATTGGATACATAGGAAGAAAATTCTATAGCCAGATAACGTATAACCAGGAACAGTCTTAAATTTCTGTCTATGTCACCTTGATCCAGATTAAGTCTGCTTTAAAAACAGGTCAGATCTGAAATGGAAGCTCACTTATCAGTCATATGTTATCAATGCCTGATAAGTAAGCCATCTCAGAGCTAGGGAGCTGTGTGGATGACCCCAAAGTCTCTTTGACACCATGTTTCTATTATTTCAGTGTCTATCATGCTTTTTCTTTGCTCTTATTTCTGCAGATATTGTGTGTGACTACCTTATGTAGGCGGTAGGTTTGTGGTTATAAAACTTTCGATACACTGTGGCAGATTCCATAGCTTTAGCAATTAGACATAAAAAACTTGCAATAAATGAAATGTTTATTCCATTCCTTGCCAAAGTGATTTAAAGGTTAACTAAGTTTAGTAGATAGTAATTTCAAAGGCAGTAAATTATGTTGAACTTTCATTCAATCATGTGTCTATATTTATATCTATAGTACATTCTGTATCCATGCCTTCCTCCGCCTGGATGTTTGCATATTAGTTAAGCAAGACAGTGAAATTACTATGTTATGCGATGAACATTTAAAGAATATTTTTGAGTTGAATTTCTTGTGTTCACTTATTTTTGCTTTTTCCAGTTCCCAAACATGATTTGTCTTTATTAATTCTCCTATTTTATATTTCCCCTTTTTTATTATTTAAAGCCAAACCTCACTGGGTTCAATTGATAAAAGATGTTGAAGCTGCAGTGGAGGACAACATATACTGGGAGTGCAGAGCAAATGGCAAACCTAAGCCTTCCTACAGGTGGCTGAGAAATGGAGAACCTCTAGCATTAGAGGTAATGTGTTTTTGTTTGTTGATCTTGTTTTGGAAAAAAAATTGTGCACAGGTTACATTGGATGCACATTAGTAGCTTCTTGAATTCACCTAAGTAATTTTTAAAAAGTTAGTTTGTAATACTAGTCAGGTAGTCTTTGGGCAATTCAGTAGTTATTAAAAAAACAGTGCCATAGCAAATTTTTTCTGCAGTTTGTTTTTTTAAATTATGCATCTTCCTTTTGATGGAAGAGGGAAAAATCAGGAATTTTGAAGGAGGCTGAGAAACATGCATGTGAACGTCTTGTTTTTCATTATTTAATCTTCTCCGCAGTGTATTTTCAAATTGTTTGTCTTCCTGTGTTAAAGCATGAGAGAAGAAGACATCTTAAGGGAATTCTTCCATGGCTGTCTTTCAAAACAGGAAGCATGAGCAGTCGGGGAAGCTCCCATATATAACAGAATGCAAAAACACCAGCTGCTTCTTGCCATGTTGCAACATTGTTCAGATGTAATATTGAGGCAAGCTGAAAAAGATCCCCAAAAAGCATTCTGAAGAAAGATTTGTGCATTCTGTAACATGAAAAAACCCCGTAACTTTTTTGCAGCGGAGAAAAAAAAAATTGTTTAGCCTGCTTTAAATTAAATTGGTGAACTGGGCAGGGTGCTAATCAAACTGACCCCATTTAAATCTATCATTATATAATGTAGATATATTGATAGACAGCTTTAGTTTTAAAAAATAAATGGGAAAGAGGAAAGACAGAGAAGGCCATCTGTTAAGGCAACTTTTTGGCATCAGTCATGAACATCACAGTATTCCCAAGATAGCTGTTTAGGCAACTGTTTATGTGCTCATAAACACGGTGGCTCAGTGGCTAAGACACTGAGCTTGTCAATCAGAAAGGTCAGCAGTTCGAATCCCTAGTGCCACATAACAGAGTGAGTTCCCGTTACTTGTCCCAGGTCTGCCAACCTAGCAATTCAAAAGCATGTAAAAATGCAAGTAGAAAAATAGGAACCATCTTTGGTGCGAAGGTAACAGCGTTCCATGCGTCTTCGGCATTTAGTCATGCCAGCCACATGACCACAGAGACATCTTTTGACAGCGCTGGCTCTTTGGCTTTGAAACGGAAATGAGCACCACCCTAGAGTTGGAAACAACTAGCACATATGTCTGTGGGGAACATTTGCCTTATCTTGTGTGTTTGTGGTATATAGAACAATAGAGAGTTGTTTTAAAACTTTTCCAGAGTCATCAGAACTCCCTGTCTCTTCTGTGTTTATAAGTCTAAGATTAAAATCGTATGTGATGTTGCACATTTTAATTATATTTTCCCGGTATTTGTAGCATGATAAAATAAACTTAATTTCTTTTACAACATAAAGATGTTCGTATTTTGAAATAAAGTTGGGAAGTTATAAACAAAAGAAATGTCAGGGTGCCCACAAGTTGAAACAGTGCCTGTAAATCACTTCTACTATGATTAAGATTTAAAAACAATTTTTTTAGTCCACTAGCAATGCTGTTCTTTCAGAATAGCACAGGAACAAACAGAAGTATCCCTTTTCAAATCGTGATGAATGGATTTTTCCCACCTGTGAGATCTTGGGAAGAGAGGACCATAAAGCAAAAATAAATCAAGAAAAATGAAGCAGTGTTCTTTTTAGCTTATTTCCATGCGCTAGTAACAGTAATTTTAGGGTCATTAAGGTTATTAGATCCATTGTATAAAAAAAGTTACAACTCTTGATTTTAATGTCCATTGACATATTTGGTACAGCATTATATTTTCTTCTATCCTGTCTCCTGTATAGAGGCAGATAATCCAAAAATAAATCTCTTCAGTTTAGCAACCTCTGCACAATATGAACTTCGATAAATATGATACATCAAAACTAGTATCATTCTCCTGTCATTTTTCAGAAAAATATGTCACTAGTATTTAAGGATATATTTTGCTCTTTTCCATAACTTCTGCTTTTATTCAAATAATTATGGAATGTGAGATTGTAAGTGACCTTGGACATTATATAGTCTAAACTCACTGGTCAGTACAAAAAAGTAGTACTATAACTTATTCAACAAATGTTAATCTATCCTCTGTTTATATCTTGAGCAAAGGAGATCCAGGCTCCCCAGGGAGATGCCGTTCCATTGTGGAATAGCTTTAACCAATAGGACATTTTAGTTAAAGTGCATTCAAAATCTATTTTTTGTAATTTAAACTCATTCTTTTTTTCTCTGCCTCCTGAAACTACTCTGAACAATTCTGCCCTGTCTTTTGTATGACAGCACTTCAAATGTTTGATAGCAGCATCATGTCTCTTTGCAATCTTCTTTTCTCCAGGCTAAAAACACACAATGATTACAGGTATTCCTTATAAGTTTGTCCTAACTGGCTATTTCCTGATTGCTGTTGTCTGGACATATTCCAGTTTGTTAGTGTCCTTCTAAAAATGCAGTGCCCAGAACAGAATGCAGTATTCTAGGTGTGGCTTGGTTTATGAGGAATAGAGAGGAATAGTGATTTCTTGCATTGTACTTCTGTTGAGGAAGGCTAGGATTGCATGTGCTCTTTTTGCAGCTTTGTCACACTCATGGATCAATTTGTGAGGCACACAAATACTTTTGGTGTGGATTACTGCCCAATATAATACTTCATCCTTTAGTCATCCTTTAATTTTTTCTGTTCAAATGTGGTTTACATTGAAATTCATCTTACTAGCTCTTGTCCATTATTACAGTTTCTCAATGTATTCCTGAGTCTTGATACTATCTTCTGATACTTGCTATCCCATTATTTTTGTAATACAGTTTGCTTCTGGGTTCAATTCAAGGTGTTGGTTATTACCTTTAAAGACCTTCACAGCATGGGATCAGGTTATCTGAGGAACCATCACATCCAATTGGATTAACTTCCCCACTCACTCCATGAGAAGAAGCTTTCTATAGACCCCATCAGCCAAGGAATTCCTAGTAGGGTCTAGGAAAAGAACCTTCTCTGCTGTGGCCCCTGCCCTCTAAACCTCTTCCCACCAGAAGTGAGATTTCCCTCTACCCTTCTGGCTTTCCAAAAGGGTCTTAAAAACTAGCTCTGCTGGTTGGCTTGGTGCCCTGGTGGGGATGTCCTCTGCTGGTTGGTTAAGTGAGAGAAAGAGAGAGACAAAACCCTACCCCTATACCCATGATGGCGAAACAGTGGCATGTGTGCACGTAGAACCATTTGTCCGGGCATGCTTCTTCTTCCTCACCACGCTATCAAAAAATTGAGTTGATTGGCATCATTTTTCATAAATCTATGCAGCCAATTACATTCTATTCTAAATGTACACAAGCTCATTGCTTAATAATCTATTCCAGGATTTTGTTTGCAATTTACATCAAACTAGGTCCATCCCACACCCCTTTGCAAAAATAGGAACAACATTTGCCCTGCTCTAGTCCTCTGGCACTATACCCATTGTCTTCTGAAAAATGTTCATCGTCCATTATTTCTGAATGATCATACAAAAGTCTATGATATGGTAGCTACAAGCTCCTTTTAGACTCTTAGATTTTATAGTTGATGGCATGAATTCCTTGTTTTCTAACCGAACTTATACAGCTTGTCTCTTTTATTCTTCTCCAGCAGCATCTGTCAACATTCCTTTACACATTGACCATTATGTGACCTGCTGCATGGCTGTTAATTCTAATGTTCTTATTCAGTATTTGTCTGAACTTGATGGATTGGTTTCCTGTGACCTTCTATGTGTAATTTTTATCTCTGGTAACTGATATCCAGACCTGATCAGGTTATTTCCTTTTTGCCTTTCTATGTATGTTTACATATTTCTTAGGTTCAAATTCCTTTAGTTGACTTCTCCCATTATATTATTTCTCATATGTAACATTTACTTACACTGGATTGCCACTCCCTTTGTTTTTCAGTTGTTCTGCTTAGTTCCATTTCTGTTCATGAACTCCATGTACTTTAAGCTTATAATAGATTCTTCAGGGAAGAAGACTGAAGCAAAACAATTCTGCCCCCACTTCAATATTTTCTCTTAGAAGTAGACCCATCCCTCATTTTTTCCAGGCCCCCCTATTTACTACAGAGTAAAGTCCGGACACTTATTGTGACAATTTTCTTCTTTTGTTTTATCTTCCTTTGTTAGTTTAAATTCCTTTTGTGCTTTAGCCTACTTTTTCCCCTGCAGATATTAACTACTTGGCTGTTACATCCATCTTCCATTTCATATGCAGAATAATAAAGTTGAAAGGGACCTTGAAGGTCTTCTAGTCATACCCCTGTTCAAACAGGAGACCCTATACCATTCCAGACAAATGCCTACCTAACCTCTTTTTAAAAACTTCCAATGTTGGAGCACCCACAACTTCTGGAGGCAAGTTGTTCCACTGATTAATTGTTTTCACTGTCAGGAAATTTCTCCTCAGTTCTAAGTTGCTTTTCCCTTTGATTAGTTTCCATCTATTGCTTCTTGTCCTGCCTTCCAGTGCTTTGGAGAATAGCTTGACTCCCTCATTGTGAGAATTCCTTTGTGGCAGCGCCTCAAATATTGGAACACAGTTATCATGTCACCCCTAGTTCTTCTTTTCACTATACCAGACAAACCCAGTTCCTGCAACCGCTATTCATATCTTTTAATTTCCAGCCCCCTCATCTTTGTTGCCCTTCTCTGCACCCTTTCCAGAATCTCAGAGAAGAGCAACAAAGATGATGCATGTTTTTTTTAAAAAAAATTGGATCAATCAAAAACACCTTGGCACCCACAATGGATCATTAAGCTACTTCCTTTTAAAAAGGAATGAAATTATTCTCCCAGTATCGGTTTCTAAGGATGAAACAAACTTTAAATATTGACTTCAAATTTTTGTCAGCTGTTTTTCTGTTAAGTTTTATCAAGACATCTATTCCCATGAAATATACTGAGTTGAACATTATGATTCAATAGACTAGAATAGAATAACAGAGTGGGAAGGGACCTTGGAGGTCTTCTAGTCCAACCTCCTGCTTA